ACAGTTGTATGTATGTATGATAGATGGTTGGATGAATGGTTGGATGGATGATTGATCACTTCTATAAATTAACTAGGTGTAAAAGATCTAAGGTTAGTTGAGTCCATGTTAATGTAGGTTAAGTAATTATATTTTGTTAAATACTTGCAGTCTGTAAATATAATGACCAAAAGTAATTTGATAATTATTTTTATTATTAAACCGTTATTTAACCAGATTTAAAAAAGCTCATTAAGATCAAGACGTCTTTGACATGAGTGACCTGAGCACGAGCAGGCAGCCGTGCACGTCATAAAACAAGACGAGAGAAGAACAGGACTTCAGAAATCTATAATATACACGGTAATAGTTGTAATAATAATACTTTCAAAGAACAACAGTTCAAGATGTAAAACAGTTCCTGTTGACCAGAAACCCTTTGTTGTTGTGTTTTAAAGTTTGCAGAATCCCTCAAAGTATCAAGTTCTGTCAGTTTGAATGAGCTCCAAGCTGAAGGGACAGAAGGTCAAAGCTTCCTGATCTTTCTGTTCACACACGACCAACATTTATTATTCAGGTTGTGAAGCCTGGACTGGCTCGGCTCAGGTCACATAGGTCTGATTCACAACGGTGCTAATCTGACAGGAAATGTAATTCAGGATTGTTGGACGTTTGTCCACACAACAAGCTGAAGCACCGTTATCTGGAAACTGTGTTCCAGGTAGACGGACACCTGAGCTCCTCCTCTGATTCTGCTCCGGCCTGCGTTCAACGGCTCACTCCATTATTAGATGAGCGAGTGCTTTCCCTTCGAACACAGCAGCTAATCCCAGAAGTCTCCTAATCTGAAATCCAATTATTCTGCAGGCTCTGGTCAGACTGGTGTTCAGGTCGTGGACCTGTTTTACACCTGAGAGCAGAAGAAAAACGTGTTTCTGATTATTGAGCATGGACTTCATGTTTCTCTAGGTTTCTGTTCCTGAAGGTTTGTTTCTGAGCAACCATGTGGTTACCATGGTGACGTAACAATCCTGGCTCTCTTCATCCTTCTTAAACGTGTTTGCACATCTATAAGTGCACGTTCTGTTATGTTAACTGTTAGTGGCGCGTGTCTTATAGACATTATGGCAACTTGTGTTTGGTGACACACAGACCCAAGACACACGAGGTCCAACAGCACGGCCTTTTCTGGAGCCGATGCTGATCTTTAGGAATCAGGGCAGTCGATCTCCACTAATTCTACCCGCTAGCCACCGAGTCCCATGTGAGCTGCGGGACGCTGGAGCCCCATGTGCCACTGGGTCCCAGCAGATGCTGGTCGCCGGCGTCGCTGGTCATCACTGAAGTTCACAGGCTGGAAGAGCTCCCAGTCACCGGCCACCAGACCCCATCAACTGTCGTATCCAGGCTTAAAACTGACATTTAGTTATTTATCTTATGTATTTTATTATTTTATTTTTTCATCTGTTGCATTTTGGATGCCTCCTGACTGCTCCACTAGTCAGATTATCTACAGAGCCCTGATCATGAAGCTTCTTTTTTTAATCCTCCTTGTATTTTCCTTTGCTTCAAGTGGGTCAGCACTTTGGAAGAGTAAATGGGCCACAAGTCTCCATCCAGACCTGGATTTGTCCAGGTCAGGGACTTCATGTGGTCATTGTCCTCCAGGTCAGGGACT